AAAATCACCTTTCTTCAACCACATTTGGCCTTTAATCAATTTCTAGCAGGACGTTTTGACCTCAGCCGACTTGCTAGAAACTGATTAAAGCCCAAATACTCTCATTTAAAGGGGATATCTGCCCAAATATGACTTGATTTCATTCAGAACCTCCATAATATAAAGATCTGAGCTCACAAAATAGCTTGGAACTCTTTACCACACTAAAAAGCCATTTTGACTTGCAAAATCGCTTTTTCTTATATGATTTCATATAAGAAATGCTGGGTTTCAAATTACCCAGGAATGGCATGAAATCAAGAAGTTGTTCAATCTCTTAAAAATACTACATTGCTGTCATAGAAATACCAAGAAAAAAAAGTCACTTCATAAGTGTTGGTGCAAAATAATTGTATTTCTTTTAATCTAAAGAGATTTATACAGACAAAAGCATGAACACGAAACAGGAAAATTTGAAAAACACACAAAGATATAACTATTTACATAACAATAGCAACACATGCTACTGGCAGGCCGCACAAATATATTCCTTTCGGCCTCTGTATTTGGCACAGCTTTTGTGGAACCACCGTGGGCAGAATTCACATCCAATCTGAATTTGGCAACAGGAAAAAAAGTGATTAAATTCTAGGCAATTATGACAAACACCAAAACATGTTTATTTTGTTTTCCTTACATATGGACATTTGAATACTGTATATAGTCTTTTTTTAATCTAAGACAGACTGAAGGACAGGTAAAGAACAGTTACCCAATGAGTGTCCCCATCCTGCTCCCCACACAGATGGCACAAGTTACTCAAGTCATCTGCAAAAAAAAGGAACATGATTTATTTTCCTTCAACTGTGAGCAATGTTCGTCAGAATAAATTATAAAAAAAAAACAAAAACCACCTGTGTTTTCCAAAATGGAAACGGCAATGTGTTCTCGGATAGAGTTCACGCCAGATGTTGAGTTATCGAACTCAAGGGGTAATCCACCCAAGATGCACTCTGCAAACTGTAAATATGAGGTGGAAGAACAGATTTATCATGTGAAATGGTACTCCTACAAGTAGTGTTACTATAAACAACCCAATAAAGCCTTTTTTACAAATAAAACCACTGCAAGAGCTGGAAATACAGAGATAAACTAAACTGGGTGAAAACAAAAACCAGAACTACAAAGAACAAACGTTAAATGGATGAGACTCTAGAACAAACCAGTGGGAGCACAGGACCAGGAGAGTCAAAGGAGGAGGACACAGAAGAGCCAAGAAAACTTACAGGACACGACACAAACATAACGCAGAGGAACCAATGGCCAGGGAAAGTAAACATTAATTCGAATGAGGATCTGACAAGGAGTGAATGAACCAGAGAGCTTATAGTGGGGCAAAAAAGTATTTAGTCAGCCACCAATAGTGCAAGTTCTCCCACTCAAAAAGATGAGAGAGGCCAGTAATTTTCATCATAGATATAATAATAATAATAATAATACATTTTATTTAACAGCGCCTTTCTTGACACTCAAGGTCACTTTACAAATAATACAAAAAATAAATAAAAAGATGAAAATACAAAATACAGATACAGGAACATAAAAAACAAAAGAACAATCGTGGATAGGGAAAAAAACAAAAGAACAATCATGGATAGGGAAAAGAGCAGTGTATTCACAGATAAGCGAGCTGGAACAGATGGGTTTTGAGTCTGGCTTTGAATAAGGGGAGAGAGTCAATACTGCGGAGGTCGGGAGGAAGGGAGTTCCAGAGCTGGGGAGCAGAGCGGCTGAAGGCTCTGCTCCCCATGGTGACAAGTCGAGCTGGGGGTACAGTGAGGTGGATGGAGGAGGAGGATCTAAGGGAGCGGGAGGAGGTGGCAATGTGAAGGAGGTCTGACAGATATGGAGGAGCAAGGTTATGGATGGCTTTGAAAGTATAGAGAAGGATTTTAAATTGAATTCTGAAGTGAACTGGGAGCCAATGGAGTTGGTGAAGAACAGGGGAAATATGATGGAAGGAGGGGGTTCTGGTGATGACACGAGCAGCTGAGTTCTGAAGAAGTTGAAGTTTATGGAGAGATTTATGAGGGAGGCCAAAAAGAAGAGAATTGCAATAATCAATACGGGAGGTGATGAGGCTGTGGATAAGGACAGAGGCAGTATGAGTGGTGAGGGAGGAACGGAGACGGTTAATGTTGCCAAGGTGGAAGTATGCAGACCTGGTAATTTTATTTATGTGAGACTGAAAGGAGAGGGAGGAGTCGAGGATGACACCCAGACTCTTGACCTGAGGGGAGGGGGAGACTAGGGAGTTGTCAATGGGTAGTGAGAAACCTTTGATTTTAGATAGGGTGGATTTAGTGGCAACGAGGAGGAGTTTTGTTTTATCGCTGTTTAGTTTAAGGAAGTTTGAGGTGAACCAGTCTTTAATTTCAAGTAGGCAGTTAGTAAGGGACAAGGGGGGGAGTGAGGAAGTGGGTTTACTGGATAAATAAAGCTGGGTGTCATCCGCATAACAGTGAAAGTGAATGTTGAATTTCCGGAAAATACTGCCAAGGGGAAGAAGGTAGATGATGAAGAGGAGGGGGCCAAGAACTGAGCCTTGAGGAACACCAGAAGTGACAGGGGAAGGGTGCGAAGTGAAAGATTTGAGCTGAATAAACTGAGTGCGGTCGGAGAGATATGAGCGGAACCAGTCAAGAGGGATGTGAGAGATGCCAAGAGAGGATAATCTATTGAGGAGAATGGGATGAGAAATGGTATCAAAGGCTGCACTGAGATCGAGAAGGATGAGGATGGAGAGGAGTCCGGAGTCAGCAGCTATAAGGAGATCGTTAGTGATTTTTATTAGGGCAGTTTCAGTACTATGAGAGGGGCGAAAACCAGACTGGAAAGGCTCGTAAAGACTGTTGAGGGTAAGAAAGGTGTGGAGTTGAGCAGACACAGTTTTTTCAAGTATTTTAGAGATAAAGGGAAGATTAGAAATGGGACGAAGATTATTAAAGTTAGTGGGATCAGAACCAGGTTTTTTCAGAATTGGGGAGACAGATGCAGTTTTGAAAAGTGAAGGAACAATACCAGAAGAGAGTGAGGAATGAATAATGGAAGTAATGAAGGGGAGGAGGGAGGTAAGACAGGTTTTGACCAGAGCTGTGGGGAGGGGGTCAAGAGAACAGGTAGAGGACTTGGATTTTTGAATGAGGTCAGAAATTTCAGTAGAAGTGGGCAGTAGGAAGGAGGAAAATAACTGGCTACGGGGGAGGGGCGGAGGGGAAGTGGGAGGCAAGGCGGTCATATGTAATTGCTGGTGAATGGAGCAGATTTTTTCATTAAAGAAGGTTGACAAAGAATTACAGGTCTGAGTAGAATACATGTAAGAAGGCAGGGTGTCAGGGGGGTCAAAGATCCTATGCATTATGGAAAAGAGAGACTTGGAATTTCCATCATTGGAACAGATAAGGTCAGAATAGTAATTTAATTTAGTAATGGCTATTGAATTTGAATATTGAAGTAGATGAGTTTTATGCATTTCTTTGTGTATGGAGAGACCAGTTTTTTTGTGGAGGCGTTCCAGTTGCCGACCTTTGGCTTTCATGAGGCGGAGCTCAGGAGTTAACCAAGGGGCAGAGCGGGAAAAGGATACAGACCGGGTTTTGAGAGGGGCAAGGGAATTGAAAATATTGGAAAGCCCAGAGTTGTAGTGGGTGACAAGGTGGTCCGGAGAGGAAAGAGCAGGGATTGGGATATTGTCAATGTGGGAGGATAAAATGTCTGTGTTTATGTTCTTCATATTGCGGAAGGAAATCTGGTGGACAGGCTTGATTATGGAGAGAGACAGGGAAACGTTACAGGATAAAAGAAAGTGATCAGAAATATGGACATCATCAGCAGAACAGTTAGAGGGGATTAAACCAGAGCAGCAAATCAAATCCAGCGAATGTCCTTTTATATGGGTGGGAAAATCAACATACTGAAGAAATCCAGAACTGTCCAGGCAGGAGGAAAAGTCTCTGGTGAGTGAAAGGTTTACATTGTCCATATGAATATTGAAATCACCGAGGAGAATGACATTAGGAGAGAGAGTAGTCAGGTGGGTAAGTAGTATGGATAATTCATTTAAAAAGTCACTATGTGGTTTGGGGGGACGGTAGACTATGGAAATAAATATTGGAGTAGGACCAGGCAGTTCAAATGCAAAGCGTTCCATAGAGTGGAAAACTGGAATAGAAACAGGCAACAACTTCCACTTCTCGCGATGAAGTAACGCGAGACCTCCCTCGCGGCCGGAAACACGAGGAAGAGAGTGGTAAACAAACCCAGGTGGAGAGGAGGCGTTGAGCTGGGAGAAGTCTTTAGGTTGTTGCCACATCTCCGTGAGGCAGAGGAATTCCAGCTTACGGTCATTGATGAGATCCTGGATGAGCTGACCCTTGTTTGTGAGAGAGCGGATATTCAGGAGTCCAAAGTTGACGGGAGAGTTGATATGACCGGAGGCGGGGCTTGCTGCCTTAGCCAGGCTAGCAAGCGAACTGAAGTCAGCGGTCCGACCGGGATATCGGCGAGAGCGGCGTGAAGTGGACCAGAATGATGGTATTGGATTGGAGTCATCGATGTGGAAATTCCGACGGGATCCGCGGTGGATGTATCTCCGGCGGGGAAGGAGCATGATCTCCGGGTGTAGCTGGAGAACTGGCGGTGGAGGCGCAGACAGAAGCCCACGGAGCAGGAGGAGATCAGCAGCCGAATACTGGAACAGACCAGCCCCAGGTCGGTGTAGAGTGGAGAGGACAGTCCAGAGGAGGATACACCAGATGTAGAACTTGGAGGTTGACATTGTTAATGGCAGCGGGTGGCTAACCAACAGCAGCAACGGCGTCGAGTCAGGAGAACAGTTGGAGAGTGAGGTTAGTTAACCACACTCAGACACAAAAACAACGGGATGGCAGCGGGAGTTAGGATGATCAAAGCGAAGGCAAGTGTCTTTGCTCTCACTTGAATGTGAGTACACGGCCCAAAGTTCCGTAAAAACTTTGAAAAATACTTAAAAAACAGTTAGCGGAGAGCAGCAGCTGCAAAAACGCGCCAGCGTCCACTCAGCGCATGCGCACTAAAAGGGAAGCAATCCCTTTGGGGCTACTGTGAAGAGATCCAAAGTAACAAAAAGATATACCTCAACTATGAGAGACAAAATGAGAAAAAAAAATCCAGAAAATCACATTGTCTGATTTTTAAAGAATTTATTTGCAAAATATGGTGGAAAATAAGTATTTGGTCAGTTACAAACAAGCAAGATTTCTGGCTCTCACAGACCTGTAACTTCTTCTGTAAGAGGCTCCTCTGTCCTCCACTCGTTACCTTCATTAATGGCACCTGTTTGAACCCGTTATCAGTATAAAAGACACCTGTCCACAACCTTAAACAGTCACACTCTAAACTCCACCATGGCCAAAACTAGAGAGCTGTCAAAGGACACCCGAAACAAAATTATAGACCTGCAACAGGCTGGGAAGTCTGAATCTGCAATAGGTAAACAGCTTGGTGTGAAGATATCAACTGTGGGATCAATTATTAGAAAATGGAAAACATACAAGACCACTGATAATCTTCCTCGATCTGGGGCTCCACGCAAGATCTCACGCCGTGGGGTCAAAATTATCACAAGAACGGTGAGTAAAAATCCCAGAACCACACGAGGGGACCTAGTGAATGACCTGCAGAGAGCTGGGACCAAAGTAACAAAGGCTACCATCAGTAACACACTACGCTGCCAGGGACTCAAATCCTGCAGTGCCAGACGTGTCCCCCTGCTTAAGCCAGTACATGTCAAGGCCCGTCTCAAGTTTGCTAGAGAGCATTTGGATGATCCAGACGATGACTGGGAGAATATCATATGGTCAGATGAAACCAAAATAGAACTTTTTGGTAAAAACTCTACTCGTCGTGTTTGGAGGAGAGAGAATGCTGAGTTGCATCCAAAGAACACCATAGCTACAGTGAAGCATGGGGGTGGAAACATCATGCTTTGGGGCTGTTTTTCTGCTAAGGGACCAGGACGACTGATCCGTGTGAAGGAAAGAATGAATGGGGCCATTTATCCTCAAATTTTGAGTGAAAACCTCCTTCCATCAGCAAGGGCATTGAAGGTGAAACGTGGCTGGGTCTTTCAGCATGACAATGATCCCAAACACACCACCCGGGTAACGAAGGAGTGGCTTCGTAAGAAGCATTTCAAGGTCCTGGAGTGGCCTAGCCAGTCTCCAGATCTCAACCCCATAGAAAATCTTTGGAGGGAGTTGAAAGTCTGTGTTGCACAGCGACAGCCCCAGAACATCACTGCTCTAGAGGAGATCTGCATGGAGGAATGGGCCAAAATACCAGCAACAGTGTGTGAAATCCTTGTGAAGACTTAAAGAAAACGTTTGATCTCTGTCATTGCCAACAAAGGGTATATAACAAAGTATTGAGATGAACTGTTCCTGTTTGGCTGTGACGTCATCCTGGAAAAAAACATCAGCTGTGCTGCTTCTATCAACACCCTTGTTAATAGATGTTGGAGATCGGCCTGTTTTCCAGTGTGGTCCTGTTTCTCTGACCGTGACTGAGTGGATGTGCTCTCTTCGTCCTCTGGCATGGGAGCTGCCTTGGAGCTCGTCTGCCTGGCTGTGTGTTTCCTGGACGGGGCCGCCTTTTACAGCTGCTTTTTGTATCTCTGCTTCTGTCTCCTTGAACCCCAGTCGGCCTCGGCAGATGGCCGCTCACACTGAGCCTGGTTCTGCTGGAGGTTTCTTCCTGTTAAAAGGGAGTTTTTCCTCTCCACTGTCGCTACAAGCATGCTTAGTGTGGGGGATTGTATTTGAGTCAATGAGTCAATGCAATCAACTGGTTTTCCTTAGATAGAAAACTTTGTATCAATTTGACTGTATGATCTGGTTGAACTGTAAAGTGCCTTGAGATGACATGTGTTGTGAATTTGGCGCTATATAAATAAACTGAATTGAATTGAATTGAACTTTTGTTATTGACCAAATACTTATTTTCCACCATATTTTGCAAATAAATTCTTTAAAAATCAGACAATGTGATTTTCTGGATTTTTTTTTCTCATTTTGTCTCTCATAGTTGAGGTATATCTATGATGAAAATTACCGGCCTCTCTCATCTTTTTGAGTGGGAGAACTTGCACTATTGGTGGCTGACTAAATACTTTTTTGCCCCACTGTATATAGAGGAGGAGAGACAACAGGAAGATTGGAAACACTTGAAGAACAAAACAGTGAACCAAATCTGAGATATCAAAATAAAAACACTCAAGAAAAGTCTTTGAACCCAGAACAGAGACAGAACACAAGACATAGGACACGACAAGATGTCTCATAAATGTTCCTGGATTGTAAACATTTAATAACAACAGCCAGTGTGGGGATTAACAATGGAGTTATTATTTTTTTGGATGAACCTAGAGGTTTAAAATGACTGCAGCATAATCTAAATTTAATTATAATCCTTACATAAAGCTTAATCATGCTGTGATATGTACCTTCAATGCATAGGCACCACAAGATGTGGCATCATGTTGCAGTGGGTGAGACCTCGTCTCACGTGCCCATCTGGACACGTTCAGCCCCCTGTGTCTCATGAATGATCTGAAAAACACAAATACATGTTGTCTATATATGCAATACAAATCAGTCAGGCCTTACTTTTAAGAATTGAATAGTTAAAATGTTCACTGCATTGATGTAATGTAAAACAAAATTCCTTACTGTTTCCAATCGCATTTCTTATTAAAAAAACACAAAGATGTAGAATGAAGAAGTAAAAACTGGATTTCCAAGGAAAGGAGATAACCAGAATTCATTTTTAGCATAGTACAGGGAATAGCTATCTGTATAACCAACAGCTATTACCTTTATGCTTTGAAATTGAGATAGAAAAATTAGGATATAATGAGGACTTTGAGAAAAAGACTTATCACAGCTGGAATGGACGATTAAAAATTATGGGATGATCACAGCCTAGGAAAAGTCTATTAACGTATGTAGCGGTAGATAAATCTAAACCTGTTTACAGGCCTATCATTTTTTCAAAATGTGAAAATCTTTTTCTTTGAGTTTCTAACCTCCACAGCTAAGACTTTCCCCATTGTAAATATAAACCTGTCTAAGTTTTATGTTAAAACTTAGACAGGTTTAAAAAAAGAACTACTAAAAAAAGATATTATACTGTCTTGATAGATTATGCTATATTGGCACATTTAACATCTTTTTATGTAAACATACCTTAAATTCCACAGCGCTGGCCATTAATTACTAGCCTGGGTGCCAGTCCGAACTTAGTCCCGCCCACAAGGTTTGAGTTCGGCTAATTAATTACAGTAATAGTTTTTTTTTTAACGTGTACTTCACCACACGTGTCACTGTACTTAAGTACACTTTTAAGGTATCTATACTTTACTCCATTACTTATTTTTCCTCCTACTTTTGACTTCTACTCATTACATTTTCACACAAGTATCTTTACTTTCTATTCCTTACATTTTTAAAACAAACGTTACTCATTACTCTTGGCTTCGGTTTAAAGCACAGGTCACGGATTAGCGGACTGCGATGTTATGAACAACATTAAATCCAAAGATTTTGTCCGAGGTAAAGCTGATTTATTTGTTGTAGTCTCTTGTTATTCACACACAACAATAAACAGTGATTAGCCGACGTGGGTTTTAAAACTGCAAAGCTTTGTCTTCAACTGAAAATCAAAACGCATCTACACAGACCAGTGTGATGCATTCGCGAGCGTCAGACAGCTATGGTGCATTCTGGAGCATGGGACATTTCAGACTTACAAGGAAAGAGACAAAAACGGAACAGAACTCATAAAATAATGTATTTATTCATAAACAGTGTGGGCTTTCTTATAATACTGAATGCTCTATAATTGTGTTTCTGTTATTTTTTGATTATTCACATCTTTTAGCTTTTTATTCTAAAAAATCTATAATATTACAGCAGCAAATTATCAAAGTTTTTCAAAAGCCTGTATTAAAACTCCAAATGAGGCTTCGGATCGTACAGCGACAATTGCGCTGTCATTGTTTTACAGGCAGAATTTGCATTTGCTGAATCTTGTCTTTTAACTAGTGATGGATATACAGGGATACAGTCATACAAGTGTCAACTCCTCTCAGATAGAACAGGATGCAATATTTGGCAATTTCTATTTTTATTTTTTCATCTTTTTTTTTTTTTATTCAGTGTAACATGAATGCATAAATACGTCATTTTATTTCAGTGTTAAATTCTGTATGAAGTAACAGATCATTAAAAATGTCTCCTGTCCTGACATTTACTGGTTGATTTTCTTTATTCGGACCCCACTGATTTTTTATTAGTTACCCCTGGTTTAATGTTTCTAAATATATATTTCACGCCATGTGCGCCATCCAATGCAGATCGTTGGCGCCATCCACATCTAGTGAAAACTAGTGTAATTGGATAAGTCGTATAACGCAAACACTCATTGGTTAGCTAAAGGAAATCATCACAAGCAAGCAGGTGTTCTTCAAACTGTAAACGTGAATTGTCTATGCCATGCTACAATGTTGGATTCAGAAAAAGATGTCGAAATGTCTGAGACGGAGACCAACAAGACCTCCCTCATCCTTGGCCCTATCTCAAAGAATTTTTTGAAATAGTGGAAAAATTGTGCTTTCAATTAATATATTGGCATCTGGCCTTTTTCTTAAAGGTTACTTCATACTTTTATACTTTAAGTAGTTTTTGGAGCACATACTTTTTCACTTTTACTTGAGTAATAAGGTCAAGTTGATACTTCTACTTTTACCAGTGTTTTTAAGCTGCAGTATCTATACTTCTACTTAAGTAACAAATGTGTGTACTTTTGACACCACTGTACTTCACTGTTCACTCTAATAAAATAAAGATGAATTCATGCAAAATTACCTTGTAACATCCTTGCAGTGGTTTATTGAGGTTTTTCTTTCACCCAGTGGATCTAGAAAAACTGTTTTTTTGTCTCCTGGCAAGATCACCTAAATATAGTGTCAAAAATTAATAAAGATACTGTAATACTATAGTTATAGTTTTTCAGCAATAAAATGTAGACTGCATCAGTATGTATACACACACACAACCATCCACACACATGCATACACCATGTTTAAATATACATACATACATATAAAACCCAATACCATCACGTCTTAAAAATAAAAAAAATAATTACCACCAGCATCCAATGGTGACCCGCATTGACAATGCCCACGATTAACTTGTATAGCTGTGGGACTATCTGTAAGATAATTAAATAAAAAATGCCAGGTGATTAATGCATATTGTGATGTATTAATTTGTACTTTAACCTGAGATCATATTTTTTAATACCTTTACTTTGGGTTTCAGTCCATCCCAAATGCGGGTCATTTCAAAAGTGTCCACGGCACATGCCCTGTCTGCGTTGTTGTCATTATATTTTTTAATAAGCAGGGACAGATATGCATTGATAACCTGAAATTTAAAATGAAAGGTTCAAAAACATATTTAGAATGAACAAAGATAATGCAAATTTTGTGTGCCTGACTAAAAAGTATATTCAATACATGAACCTTTTCCAGAAAAAAGAATGTTACCACCTCACCTCGCTTTCCAGTTCTCTTTGTGGTCCAGTATTGAATATGTCCCGAAAGAACACTTTGAAGGGCCCAATTTTGGAAAGGAGAACATATGGTTTTTTCCCCTCCCATGCGTCCTTCACATCTATAAAAATCATTTTCAAAGTTGTAGGAATGACATTCTGCAAGGACTAAAATACACTTCAGATACAGCATAATCTTGCTCGAATGGAAACCTATTTTAATATTTGTGCTGTTTTTTTTTTGTTTTTTTTTTTTTATATTGTCATAGTATACATTTGTTGACTTGAGGGTTGCATAGATTCAAATTTGGATTATATTGATGGTTATTTTGGATTTATAAGAGATTTCAAGTTTATATAAAAGTGAAAACATTTATTAAAAATGTGGTTGCTAACTGGGGTGTTTACTGTGGAGTTTGTGGATGCAGGGGAGGTGCATGTAACCTGTAATGGCAGTGGCTGTGGAGAGGCCAGAGAAGGTCCTTTTGGGCGGACCTGATGATGGCGGGGTGGCAGGCGGGTGTGATGACGGCGGGGTGGCAGGCGGGTGAGATGACGGCGGGGTGGCAGGTGGGTGAGATGACGCCGGGGTGGCAGGTGGGTGAGATGACGCCGGGGTGGCAGGCGGGTGAGATGACGCCGGGGTGGCAGGCGGGTGAGATGACGCCGGGGTGGCAGGCGGGTGAGATGACGCCGGGGTGGCAGGCGGGTGAGATGAAGGCGGGGTGGCAGGCGGGTGAGATAACGGCGGATGGCAGGCGGGTGAGATGACGGCGGGGTGGCAGGCGGGTGAGATGATGGCGGGTTGGCAGGCGGGTGTGATGACGGCGGGGTGGCAGGCGGGTGAGATGGCGGCGGGGTAGGTGTGCAATCTGTTATCTTGTGTGGCACTCTTCTCTGCTCCTCCTGATAAGGAACCAAATGGTCCCGACTAATTTTAGGAATTTTCACTCCTTGGCTGTTGATCAGGTCCACACTTTTGCCGTCTATGGCCACAATTGTGAAGGGTCCTAAATAATTAGGGTCTAACTTTCCCCCTTTTCTCTGCTGGCTCCTCACATTAAGCCTCCAGACCTTCATACCCACCTGAAAGGGTGGGGCAGTTTTTTTGGCCTTTTTTTGGGGAGTTTTGGCCTGGTTATTATTTATTGCACTTTGAAGTGCCTCATCCAGTTTAAGGATGTCCTCAGTCATTTCCTCAACTGAAATGTTGTTCTCAACACCTTTAAAATGATTTAATGGTTAGATTGAAGCATCAATATACACATTGTTCATTGTTTCTTTGCCATACAAAATGCAACTCACTGTATTCTTCACGGATCTCGCTGGGGTAACTTGCCTCTCTCCCAAACATAAAAAAATATGGGGAGAATTTAGTGGTAACTTGGCGTTTAGTCCTGAGTCCGAACATCACAGCCTCCAAGGGCTTGTCCCACTCCTCTGGCCTCTCCTGTGCAAGTTTTGATAGTGCCCTAGAAAAAAGTTAAAATCATGGAGCTCTTCTTAAGTTTTTACGATTCTTATACTGTTTATTTTATAACCAACAAAATTTCAAAGTGATAATTATCAAATGTTATAAAAGACATACTTCTGTATGGTCCCATTGATCCTCTTCACCAGTCCATTGGTCTGGGGATGGTAGGGAGAGCAAAGGCTTCTTTGTATCCCCAGTATATTGCATACTTTTTTGTTGATCTGTATTGGAATAAATAAAGACAGCAAATTAAATTTATTTTTTAGAAATAATGCCTTTGTTTTTCATTGAGTTCAAAACATTTAAATGAGTTATTACAAAAATTCTATTCATGATAAGTGTTAAAATATTTTTATTCAATGTCAGTAGCATATATACCTCATTAACAAACTCCCAGCCTTGGTCAGTCAAGATCCTCTTGGGAGCTTCAAACTGATAAAAAAACTTGAGGATGCACTGACTGACTTCCTCAGCAGTCTTGTTTTTTATGGGATATGCCTGGGGGCGCTTTGTCAGGTAATCAACCATGATGCAAATATACTGATTCCCTGTCTTTGTTGTTTTTAACTTGCCTATCAGATCCATCCCAATAAGCTCAAATGGTTTTGAAACCTGTAACACATAAAATATCACAATTAATATGTATGTCATATGTCCTCAATAAGTACAATGTCAAACACTTTTAACTTTTATTAGTGTGTACTCCACCTCCTGCTTAATGACGACTCTGCCGGCCTGGCATGCAGTACACTGGTTCACCTGACAAAAAAACAAAAAAAACAAGTATGATCATTTTCCACATCTGTGTGACTTAGAGTCCCATAATTTATTTTTAGATAGATAGATATGGCAGGATAACATACACTCATACTGACCGAGTGTTTAATGTCATCTGACATGCCAGGCCAGTAAAATCTTTTTGAGATGGCCTCTGTTGTCTTTTTCTGGCCACAGTGTGCACCAGTGCTGCTGGCATTAAAGTCTACAAAGACTATAGCCTCCTCTTTTCCACGGAGCACCTTGGCCTTAAGACAATTAGGCTGTCCTCTATGCCTTAGGTAGTACAGATGGCCATCTGCGAAAAAATAAATAAATTATTAATTACAAGCATGTACTATGAAAACTATTTAATAATTTAACAATTTATCACACAAGAAGTAAACTATGTTAATCTGACCATGTTTTGAAAAAAGTCTAAGAGAAACACTAAATATGCGTTCAAAGACGCACAAGCTCGTCTTAGAGCGCACTTCACAAATGGACACTTAACTATCAATTATAGACCATCAAAAAGAACAGAAATAGCTGCAGAATCTAAAATAAAAAAAAACAAAAAACAATTATATATGTATAACTAACGACACGAATTCTGGTACTTCTTACAACAAGAAAAATAAGAAAATGTATAAGTCCCTCGGACGCCATTTCCCGAGGACCCATTTCACCTTGCACTTCAAAAGCCTTTGACTTTCGTCGAAAATTGCTCTGTTGGAATGCAGATAAGCCAAGGGGCATAGTTCCATCGGTTAAGAATGACTTTATTTGGTCGAAGAGACTGGGATCCATGGTGAACAACGTCGCAAGTGCGTCTAGTGTCCAACGCACGTATGCGTATGTCAATTAAGAAGCTCCGTTGAAGTGTGCACGCAGTATGCATGTGCAGTCCGCATGCCTCAAAGGAATCAATGCAATGCATAAATAGCATTTTTAGGGTTTCAAGCTACTGATGTTCAATTGAAAGGGGAGTTCGGCCTCAAAATCACTTCATGTCCCTCATCAGTAATATAGAATAGATTTTATATCTTTGGCTTTCACGACTTGTAAACTGTGTAAAGAGTTAGTGTGAGATATATGAGGTTGTAATCTGTCACATATGATGCTTCAGCGTCAAGACCAGACATTTTGAGGCAGTAAATATAGTTACAAGGAAGGTGCTGCAATCAATTTTTGGCAGGTTAAAAATGGCTTTTTAGGGTGGTAAAGAGTTCCAAGCTATTTTGTGAGCTCAGATCTTTAAATTATGGAGGTTCTGAATGAAATCAAGTCATATTTGGGCAGATATCCCCTTTGAATGACAGTATTTGGGCTTTAATACATTTTTTTTCAAGTCAAAATGGCTATTTTGTGTTGTAATGGTCCTTTAAAAGAGTTCCAAGCTGTTTTGTGAGCTCAGATCTTTAAATCATGCATCTCCTGAAGGAAATCTAGTCATATTTAGGTAGAAATAACCTTTGAGTGACTATACTGTGCCTTCAATCAATTTTTGACAGGTGAAAACCGATTGAAAACTGCAAAACACATAGAAACATGGGAAATTCGTGCTATATACGGCCAGATCAGATAAAAAAACAATGCAGAGTCACGAGGATCGTTGCAAAAGTTATCATATCTTTATTGAAAACCCTCCAGTAAATCATATTTATTGTAGTGTAGTCTCCAATGTCAGGGCTACACAAAGTCATCAGACCGAGTATAGAAACATGTCTATCACGTAACTGCCGTTATGTGACAAACGTTAAGCTTTCGAATCTTTAATTAGGCCTATATTATAATTTAATTAGGCCTATATTATAATGCAACTGTGTGTATCTGCATGTCATGACCGTTTAATCCAGAGAAAAGCAGGTTTACGCTATCGCTCAGCGGGCTGCGGTGCGCGCTCCCGCGAGCGCAATCAGATTGTCGCAGACATTCACTTTTTCGCACGACACCGGAATCGAACATTACGCTTTGCAAAAACGCCCTGGACGCTTTTGTGCACAAACTGGAATACAGAGTCTCTAAAATGTCATAGGGGGACTTGCAGCATTTCCCGCTGCTGCTGAAACAGTCTGGTGGCGCCGTGCGTGCGTCTTTGCGCACGGAGTTTACGCAGCACATGAACCTTCTCCGGGATGATATTCAGAGCCGCTTTGCCCACATTGACCAGTATTTATCCAGAGAATCATGGGTGTTGGACCCCTACGTTTCCACCCTGAAGGACGTAGAATACATCGGCTGCGAAGATGAGCTTTGTGACCTTCAAGCTGATTCCGTGTCCAAAAGATATTTCCAGGAAAACGGATTTAAAAAGTTCTGGATTGCCAAAGGACATGCTGTCGCTCCCACACTGGCCAAACACGCAACAACCAGGGTTATTCTCCCATTTAGCACTACATACCTGTCTGAAGCAGCTTTCAGCGCGCTATTAACAATAAAAACTAAAGTCAGAAACAGACCCGATGTTCACCAGGACTTTAGACTGGCTATCACAACAATCAAACCTGACATCGCATCCCTGGTCAAAAATATGCAAGCTCAAGGTTCCCATTAGTAACTGAACAAATAAGAAGTAAAAAAGTTGTAAGTTTAGTACTGGTTTCTGAAACTGTTGTGTGATTTTATTTTTTAAGCCAGTAGTTGTGTGTGTTTAATCACATGGGACTGTTTTTTTTTTTGTTTTTTTTTACTTTATGCATGTTTGTAAATTAGAACTGGAAAATATATTGAAAATGTGGACATGCTGATGAAAGTTAAGCTTAGGTTTGAAGTTTATATGTTAGCTCTCTTTTTTTGGGGTTTGTTGTTCATTTCTGTGCACTGTACACCCCTTGACATAAAAAATACATTATTAATCAAAAATAATAAGAACAAAATGACATAGCTGCCATTTATTCTTTATTTTTCAAATAAATAAATGTTCATTACAAATCACTTTAATCTTTTGATACGTTTGTGCGGGCCTGTGTAAGGCTTGGGGGGGCTTGGCGTGTCTTGGACTTCAGCAGGGGGGGGCTTCAAGAAATTAAGGTTGGGAACCACTGCACTAGAGCATAAAGAACACCATCAAGAAAAAGGAACTTTGAAAATAAAAAAAAAGCTGTCATGAGACTTAGAAATAATGTAAAGATGCTCTCTTTTAGCAAATAAAATTTAATTGAGATCTGAGTCTGTAATCACATAGAGTAGATTTTTAAAAACACTGCATACATCTACAAATGAGAGAACATTTCTTAAAATACCGGTAAGTCTGTTTATCCCACTGATCTCTATTTATTCAATTTATTGCTGATAGGCTGAAAAAACGGAAGTCACCTGCCGCCATCTTGGTAATCCCCACTCTCATGGAGTCGCACTATAAAAATGTCTGTAATGTAATGTAATTACCATACCAATGTAATCAATACATGTATATTGCATGTACATCAACAATTTATCACTTTTGGCACATCATCAAATAGTGTGTGTGTGTAATATTCTTAATATCTGACTACAGTATTATTATTATGCTCCATTAACACACTCATTTTGTTGTGATGGATTTGTATAATATGTTATATTACATGATTTATAGACTTCATGGACTTTATACTGAATAATATACAATCTGATGTGCCTATTTTTTAACCTTAAATGATAGTGATCTACTTATGCTATAAAGCACCAAGTGTGTGTCGAAGTTATGAATTTATCTTTATTTTAAAAGTCTTAAGTCCCCCTGAAAATGAGAACATCATGGTGGTTCAATGCTGTAGAGCACCTATTGTTTACTTTCTGACCAATCTAACTGGGGAGTACCAATATGGCGGCTGGTAGCTTCACAGCAACCTGTACTACCATTGGGCAATCCGCCATCCAGGGAATAAATAGAGATCATTGATTTAATCCTAATCTGAGCAGGTAAATAAGCTGATATGTGAATGGAATCAGTATTTTTGCCCTTAAATACAGATAATGCAACATTATGCACCTGAAGTAAGACAACGCAGTTGTTTTTTTATTATTTTATACGTACATTTTCTTATTCCATTGGCAAAATGTCTCACTTATCATCTGAATTCAAGAAAAAAACAAAACACTTATTTTAAGAAAGATTAACTTATTTATGTTTCTTTGTTTTTTGCAGTGGCAGAAAACTGAATATAAAGGCTCACCACAGTTTTGTGACATTCCACGTCCCCAGAGCCAGTTTAATCCCTATCCCAGTCTGGGAGACTTCAACGCCCACGTGGGAAACGACAGTGACACCTGGAGGGGCGTGATCAGGAGGAACGGGCCCCCAGCTCTGAACCCGAGTGGTGTCTCATTATTGGACTTCTGTGCAAGTCACGGATTGTCCATAATGAACACCATGTTCAGGCATAAGGATGTCCATCGGTGCACTTGGCATCAGGACACCCTAGGCCGAAGGTCGATGATCGACTTTGTAGTCGTATCTTCTGATCTTCGGCCACATGTCCTGGACACTCGGGTGAAGAGAGGGGCGGAGCTGTGTCCACCGACCACCACCTGGTGGTGAGCTGGGTACGCTGGAAGAGGAGGAAGCCTGAAAGACTCGGCAGGCCCAAACGTGTAGTGAGGGTCTGCTGGGAACGTCTGGTGGAACCCTCGGTCAGGGACGTGTTCAACTCCCATCTCTGGGAGAGCTTCTCTCAGGTTCCGAGGGAGGTTGGAGACATGGAGTCCGAATGGGCTGTGTTCTCTGCCTCTATTGTTGATGCGGCTGCCCGTAGCTGTGGCCGTAAGGTTTGCTGTGCCTGTCGTGGTGGCAATGCCCGAACCCGGTGGTGGACACCGATAGTAAGGGATGCTGTTAAGCTGAAGAAGAAGTCCTATCGAGCTTGGCTTGCTTGTGGGACTCCTGAAGTAGCAAGCAGGTACTGTGAGGCCAAGTGTGTCACGGCCTGGGCGGTTGCAGAGGCAAAATCTTGGGCCTGGGAGGAGTTCGGAGAGGCCATGGAAAAAGACTATCTGTTGGCCTCAAAGCGATTCTAGCAAACAGTCCGGCGCCTCCGGAGGGGAAAGCAGTGCTTCGCTAACACTGTTTTCAGTGGGAGTGGGGAGCTGCTGACCTTGAAGGAGGATATTGTCGGGTGGTGGAAGGAATACTTTGAGGATCTCCTCAACCCGACGGACACGCCTTCCGTGGGGGAAGAAGAGACGGGGTGCTTGGGGCTGGATTCATTCATCAACCAGGCCGAAGTCACCAAGGTGGTCAAAAAACTCCACGGTGGCAAGGCTTCGGGGGTGGACGAGATCCGTCCTGAGTATCTTAGAGCTCTGGATGTTGTCAGGCTGTCATGGTTGAAACGAAATTAAAAAGAAACAGTTTTAAAAAATTCAGTATTCATTCTTTTCCTGTTTTGTGTGTCAACTATCACGGTTGCTAACCGTGAGGGTCGACAGCGGAGAAAGCTGCAGAAGGGTAGACCTGTTTGAATTCACAGCCAAAACTCTTCCAGTCTCCTTATTTTTAAGGACTTTGAAGGATCCAGTCCAGGTAGACCGCATCCTTGGAAGACGCAGTCCATAAATTTGAACACAGCCCTAGTTTATCCATCATGATACATCCTGATGATTCTTAACAATAAATTAGATTAGTTATGATAAAAAACTAAATGGATACATTTCGAATTTTCTTTAAAACATTTTTCTTTTCTTTTTTCCATTGGGGGCACTGGCAAACTTAATGAATATGAGAAAATGCAGTTACTCCTGGAAGTTTAGTGGTATAAATTACATTTCTTTATATAACTGGTGTCCTGAAGAAGCCCATTTTAAATGTATGTTTGTTTTCGAGAGTAGTGTCTGCGGGGCTATAATTGCTCTGGCATGCAGTCGCAGCTATACAATTACTTAAGAATGACTTGAAAGAAATAACGAATAGTGTTTTTATTCATCTATTTTATCGTCATTATGATAGCACTGCATAATATCGTGATATTTGAAGGCCAAACTGTCCAGCCCTAGTATTGGGCATTACATGTCTTCATGGTTTCACCAGTTCATTAGTGCATTCAGCAGCCATGAGGCTTGAGATGTCTTCTTTGATCTTTAAGGGAACTTTATCATCCTAAATTCATTTTGTTTATTACTTTTAACTATGCTAAAATGGTATTTCTTTATCAAAGCTATACAGTTGTATGTAAGTAGCCCCCACCAGGAAGCCCCTACTGCGACTCTGCTAAACAAATGCCCACTTTCTCTGATCAGGGAGGATCTGAGGCGGAGCTCAATGATTCTACACCAAAGTTAAAAAGAAGTCGCTCTTTTAGCAGCTATTTTGCACTGGGCGGTAATCTTTTAAGCTAATAACAGAATCTCTGAAAACCTTTTTATTGTGGCCTTGAGAAGTCTGACTTTGTTTTCCTTGTAGAAATGCCGTAATTTGGGGACTTAATATTAGAGCTCCTGTTGACTTCAGTTTGGTTTATTTATAAAGAACCCATTTACAACCACTTATTTCAACAACATTTAGTAAAAAAGACCAACAGATCCTGTTCAAATGACTTGAATCAAAGTTTTATTATAGTAAAAAATAACAGGTGAATATAAAATAAAAGGAAGGATCCCTTAGTAGAAACAGAAGCAGTAGGCAGGATTTAATATAATTTAGTCTAGTGAAATAGAAACAAGTCATCTCAAGGCAATTTACACGAGAGCTTTAAAACAGAATCATGTAACACAATTTAACACAAACACAGAATGAAATCAATCATAAAAATCCAATTAGATCCTTTTTACAATATGGTAAAGATAAATTAAGTCTATTTTGGCGTTTAGAGAAATGTCTTAAATCCAAGGAAGCTCAGCCAGCCGCATCCAGTCATTAATCTTGTAGCATTTCCTCCTCCTGAGCAATGAAGTGGTGACAGTAGAGAGGAAAACTAGCTTTAAGCAGGAAAGATCCTCCAGCAGAACCTGGCTCCATGTCAGCGCCCATTTACTGCAGCAGAGCGGGTCTTTAACAGGACAGCAGACGTCCAAGAGGTGCCGGTCCAATGAGGAGACGATGGAAGAAATCTGCTGGAAGAGAAGAACAGGAGTTAGTGAGAGAACACACTAGTCAGCGACATTTAAACACAGAAACACTGAGAGAGGTGTTAATTTAATCGAGAGAAGAAGAAAACACAGGGAGAAGCTAAAGTTAACAGCAGTGATAACTGTAGACAATGGATGCTTGGAGAAAATGCATGAAAATGCTGCATTTGTTGGAGTCTTCAGTCGGTCGTTTCTCTGCTTTAATAAGTTCTAAAAACCCTTCAGAGATCAACCAGGGGGAAATTCTCCCATATTGGATCAGAAGCTGCTTCTGAACTGTTTATCTGTGGTCTAATGGAAAAGTCAGAACTTCTGGTTCTGGTAAAGTTTTGGTTATAGAGATAAATTGAGGTTAACATCCCTTCATGATAGAAAGAAGAATTAAAGGTTAGACCACCTTGATGGGATGGTTTTGGCTTATAAATCTATTTGTTCTGGATCTGTTTTTATTGTCTTCTCCACTACTGATGAACATCTGGAAGCAATAAAGGTTCTTTACCTTCTTTCTGGGTGGAGCAGACTGATGGTTTAGCTGCGGGGTCGTCAACGTTTTTCATTCCAGGACTCAGGAAATGTTGGAGAGACGAGCAGGGCAGCCATGTTTCTCCTCCTTGGTGGTCTGTGTTCTCCATCCTCTGCTTCAGCTCCTTCATCAATGAAAGCAAAGCGTCGTCAGAGTCTGAAACTGTCTGCATGTGATTCCTCTCTAGTCAAACAACCAACATACCTTCAAACACGTGTGGATGGAGTCTGTTCCACAGAGATCCGACTGCTAGAACGCTGCTTCCATATTGAACCTTCTTTCCCTGTAAAAAAAAAAAAAAGAGGCTAAGTTAATCTACAGAATTTCCTCGACACAAATTTTAAAGTTAAGTTTTCTGTTGTCATGTTAATAAAGGCTTACTCCAGGTGTTTTCCTCTGTGCCGTCCTCAGGTGGGGACTGGGAGGCTCCTCAGCATCATGGAGGTCCCGGTTCCTCACAGGAGTTCTGCTTTTGGACGCCCACAGTGTCTGAACATGTTGACTTTATATTTAAATGATGGATCATTGTGTCTCCTTACTTAACATGCTCTCACTGTTTACTGCTCCTCTGGTTTGGTCGCCGTAGATCTCATCAGCATCTTCTGACGGCCCAAAGCTTGTAGAGGCTCGGTCCGACATGGGATTCAAAAAACACATAAGAGATCCACTGTGGTCAGAACTGGCCTAAATTATATGGAGAGTATGTCTGCAGAGGGTTCTTTCACCTACTGACCAGAGGAACATCTAGAACTAGATCAAATCACAGCTGAAAGCGGGTTCTAACAATCGGCGTCACTCACAGCCCACATCCTTACATCAGTCCTGTCCTCTGCTTTAAACTGCTCTGAGATCCATTAGACCCTCCAAGCATCGTCTTTATCTTCTCACCATCATCCCAGAGAACAGTTCAACTGATGACCTTAACAAGCTGTGTCACTGTTCTATTCTAGATCCAGTTGGTCTCCAGCAGCATTGTCCTGCTCTAGATCAGGGCTTTCCAGCTCCACTCCTCCAGAGCTGCAGCTTTTAGTCACATCTCTTCTCCATCAGACCTGAATGGAACGGCTGAATTCCCTCATCAGTCATTCAGCTCTGCAGAGGTCTGGTAAAAGGCTGTTTGTTTGATCCTGGTGTGTTGGAGGAGAGATGCACCTGAAAGCTGCAGAAGCACTGCTGTAGAGGACTGGAGTTAGAGAGCTCTGCTCTAAGGAGCTTCTAATCAGTCTCCACTACAGCCTTGTCCCTCTGCCACTAGACTTTAAGTTTTCCTCATCTCCACTTTTAGACCTTTAGATTCTTAGTTTGACTTCCTGTGTTTTTGTCCTCAGCAGCGATGTCTCACTCCTTAGAGGTTTTGATGTGTCCCCAGCAGCGATGTCCAACTGTTGCCTCAGTTTGATTTGCCTCCTTGTGCTTCGCCTGTTTTCAACCAGGATTTATGTTTTTGTCCTTTTATTTAAGTTTTCCATTTGCCTCCATTCTGTTTTTGTTCTTGTAAAACCTTGTTCTTAAATCAACCCTTGGATTGTTTGGTTTGCCTTCTGTTACCTAGGAGATGGTCCAGCTCTGTCATTAGACATAGAGCATGTTAGATTATTTCTGCTTTAACCAGCTCTCATGTTTCACAGCTTTTATAAATTATAGCACGTCTCCAGTCTCTGCTCTGATGTCTGTGCTAGAGGAAAATTCTTAAGATCTAAAACTTAAAACAAAATCTAGCAGCGGGGTAAAGAAAAGCCACGGCGCAAGACGCTACCTGAGGCATCCCTAGACCTGCCAGACTCCTTAACGTCTAAAAAACAAAATCTAGCAGCGGGGTAAAGAAAAGCCACGGTGCTAGATGCTACCTGAAGCATCCCTAGACCTGCCAGATATAAAACCAATCAATAAATAATATCTACATGTGATCTTTCACCCTTTCCACCTCCAATCAACATCAAATCACCAAGAAAATACATCTAACTCCTTCTGCAAGATGATCCAAAGCAAGATGGTAAAATGTTTGGTTCTTCTGCTTAAGCCTCAGCTGCTCTTCATTGTGAGAAGCTGCTGAAGGAGTTAAAGGAAGGTTCTTGATGAAATTCCTATTCCCTCCCACGACAAAACATCTTCGCAGGGGGCTCCGTCTTCATCGTCATCGTCTTCATTGTCTTCGTCGTCATCGTCCTCTTCGTCTTCTGTCTCAGAGCTATCGCAGAGACCATACATGGAGCCTTCACTAGACCCATCAAGAGACTCACCATTAAAAGGCCAACCAACCTCATGATAATCCTCTATCCTGTCATACACCGAAAACCCAGATACAATCTCTGCACCATCCGCAGTAAAATCTTCCTCATAGTCATTGGAGGACAGTTCTATCCTTATCAAAAAAGGGAAATCAACCTGATCCGTCATCAAAATGCAGAGCTCCAGGGGAGGATCAGATGGAAGCGGGGCGTCTGGAGCAATGAGGAAAAAAATCATTAGACCAGGAACATTAATTAAGGAACATTAAATCACAAAACTCAATGCTTTATTTTAGGTTGCTGGCTGTGCCTGTGTGAGTTAGTCAGGTTTAAGTAGCTTTAATAAAAAAGAACATCAATCTGTGAGCTAAAACTAATAAAAAAAACATCTAATCAATGCTAGTGGTTTGGTTAGTGCTAAAAGAAAAGTTTAAATCGTTCTAAAAAAACACATACATACAAAAATACAGACAAGTATTTATATATATCTATATATCTGTGTATATGATCTCAGCAAGAGTGGGAGGAGCATTTTTCTGATTTCACCGTCACAATGAGGAGTGATCGTTGTAAAGGGAGGACATTTTGCTGGTCCTCACCAGCTATTTTTGCTGACGGCTAATTTAAGAACAAAAAACTACAATATCCTTTAAATCACAAGACCAACATTAAATTATTAATTTATTTTAAATTCAAATCTTTGTTTTACTGGTTAATGGGGTTTAGATTATTTATTTCAGGATGTTAACAATAAATAAATTCTCTCTAAATGGTCCATTTATTTTATTTTGATTACGCTCCCTACAATTACACTAAACTCCCACTAGGGGGCACGCGTCCCTCTTTGGGAGCTGCTGACCCAGACTATTCATTCAGATTGGTTCAGATTAAAGGACGTTTTAAACTGTAAACAAACCTTTTTTTATTCTTTATCAAAAAAAAAAATAATAATTTGACTGTGTGATTTGGTAATATAATCATGAATCTTTGAGGTTAATTAACTATAAGCAGAAAATTGTCCTGATTAACAGAAATAAAGGCTTAAAAACATCAGGCTTTAAATTTCAGATCAGGCTTTAAATTTCAGATCTATAATTTCTTATCACCTTTGGCCTTCCATTAAATAAAAAAATATATGCTACCTTAAAAAAGCCTTAAAGTTATTTATTGTATGTATCCATGGAGACCAATATGTTTACCACAGCATTTTTAAAAAAAAGCTCCCCTTTCAAGTACCAATGTATGTAACAATATTTAATTTATCCTAAAACAATTTATTTCGTATTTTTTAACCTTTTCCACGTGAACTTAATCAAAAATTATCTTCTTAAACCAAAATGTGTTTTTGTTTTATATCATTTCATCTCTGTTATCATTCCTCCTATTTCCAACCAATAAAACATCTATTTAATACATATTACCCCTTAAAAACCTTTTTAAAAACACTGATAAAAAACTTATTTCCTAAAAACATCTACTAAACTAAACAAGTTGAGAATCTTCATCTCTTCTTTTTTCCAGTTGTTTATCAGGTTTAAATTCAGTCGACTTCCAAAATACTGAAAATGATAACTTTTTTATTAAATGGAAAAAAGAAACAGTTTGGCTTGATAACATATTATGTTAAATGTCCTTCAAATATATTTGAATATTTATTGAATGTAATTTTACCAACATATCCATTAAGAGCAAAATGCATTTTTTAAAAATCATAAAGCTAGCGCCATCTAGTTTTCAAACATTTCACATCTAATTCAACAAAGGTGTTTCTCTCAAACAAAAATAAGAGTTATTTTCAAATAATTAAATCACTTTCTAAGGTTTTCTGCCATAGTTTGAAATATTGTACAATAAACCTGAATTTGAATTTGGAAATAAATTTTATTCTGAATGAGATACGTGCTTTTTTTCTGTTCGCCAATATGATTAGAGCCCAAATACAAATAACAGAGTATTACGGCCAGGCTAGAGATTTTTTTTTTAAGAATAAAGTCCTAATATTATGAGAATAAAGTTGAAAAATAACGAAAATGAAGCCATTATACCAACCAGCATATCATTTTAGACAGATTTATTTTGTCATTCCGTTAACACAAGTGTAAAACAAAAAGAAATGTTGTTAAGAACAGCTTTCTAGACAATTTTTTTTAAGTGCAGCCTTGAAAACAGTAAAAATAAAATAAAAAGAACCTTCCATGGTGGGGGTGTGAGGGGTCATTAATGATGTTACGGGCTCGGGACTTGCAGCGCTGGGATGAAATGTCTTTAAGGGAGGGAAGAGGAGCCCCGATGATCTTCTCTGCTGTTCTCACCACTCCTCTCACCTTCTTCCAGTCTGAGGCGCTGCAGCCTTGACACCACACAGTGAGACAGCTGGTCAGAACGCTCTCTATGGTGCTTCTGTAGAAGGTGGGGAGGATGGGTGGGGGCATGTGGTCTCTCCTCATTCCCCGCAAGAAGTTCATGTGCTTTTGTGCCCTTTTGATCAATGAAGTGGTGTTTACAGTCCAGGTGAGGTTGTCTGTGATGTGCACCCCCAGGAATTTGGTGCTGCTGACCACCTCTACAGCTGAGCTGTTGATGACCAGTGGAGCGTGGTTACAACGGTCCTTCCTGAAGTCCAAGATGATCTCCTTCATGTTCTCCACATTCAGGATCAGGCTGTTATCTTTGCACCAGTCCACCAGCTGCTCCACCTCCTTTCTGTAGTTCTGGTCGTTGTCGCCACTGATGAGGCCCACCACTGTGGTGTCTTCGGCAAACATCACGATGTGATTGATCTTGAACCTGGGGACGCAGTCATGTGTCATCAGGGTGAACAGCAGGGGGCTCAGGATGCCGCCCTGAGGGGAGCCTGTGCTTAGGATGATGACATCAGAGGTGTTCTGTCCGACCCGGACTGACTGAGGTCTGTTGATGATGAAGTCTAGCAGCCAATTGCAGAGGGGTGTATTGAATCCCAGCTGTTCCAGTTTGCCCATCAGATGCTGTGAGATGATGGTTGGGATGATGTGGGATGCTACAAATCTCCAGCGTGGCCCTAATATTCTGTCATATGTACACACCCATTCTGATCTTTGGCCTAAAATAATCTCCGCTGCATATGTCCAACGCCACTGTAACATCTTCTCTTTAGGCCTAACCTTCATCCAGTGGGACTAAATTTAATGTGCGGATGAACATGCCAACCCGCACTTTATCCCTGTAGCAAAGGAGCGTTAGCATATGGTGCTGAACCCTTAACTTAAAGGTACACTATGCAACCGGTGT